AGTGTGGTAAATCACTACATGATGGCAGTGACAGTTACTACTGATGGATGGCTAATGTTAGTTTGAGTGGGAGGCTGCTGCAGTACAGTCGTACAGTACAGCAGCATTAGACTGTCCAACTAAGTCTCAGCATCGATCAAACAGTTTGCTGTTAACAGGTTGGTTATGTATAGACACCACTTAGCTCATCGATACCTGGTTATTCAACCAAATATTTGACTGAATCATCAGGTATCATGATCCAGACATCTGTGTTTAAAATATCTGGCCTCTGTGTTAGGACACTGATCCATTTGCATGGGGAGAGACTGAAGGGACATGACGGTGGTCCACCTTAATTTATTAAGGTATTGCGTATGCACAGGTTCAGACAAGGTCTCAAAATAATCATTAGACACGTGTATGACACAAATATTCATGTAACAAGAAATACATGTATACAAACTTCTGACATCTACAGGATCTTTGGTTTTCTATCCATCAACAGAGGTCGCAGCCGTGACGTTTTGCAAAGAACCTGTATGTTCTGGTCTCGTCTATTGGCACGCTCGTCATGATCGTGGATTTGTTTTATATCCTGTTATCCTATGTTTTCTGTTTATGTTCCTCATGTTTTATCTGCTTCCTGTTTTATTTTGTAGATTCTCTCCTCATGTGTCATGTCTGGTTTTACTTCCTGTCTTTGTGTTTTCCCGCCTGTTTTCTGTCACACCTGTCTCGTTAGTTCTTCCCTGTTCCCACAGTCTTCCCTTCACACCTGTTCTGTATTAGTCTTGTTTGCTCCACCCTAAGGTTCCCCACCACACCCTTGTTGTTAGCCAATCCCGATTTCCCTCCTTTTGCCCGTGTCCTCCTACTCCAGCTGTGTCTTGTTCTTGTGATTAGTTTCCTGTGTATATATATACCTTTGTGTTTCCCTTTGGTTATTGTCAGTTCATCTGTGTTCCTCCTGTGTTCATCAGGCATTCATCCCTGTTCATCATGTTTGTCCCGGTTGGTTTTCTGTTTGTTTTTTTGTTCTGCTTGCCTCCCGGTTTTGGATGTTTTCCATCAGCTATATTAAAGCTTGTTTTTTTGTTAAAACCTCAGACTGTCTGTTGATCTGCATTAGGGTCCTTCTCTGAACTGAAATGTAACAGCGCCAGCAGTTGGCTGATCTGCAAATGCCTGGGGAGGGGGTGTTTAATCATGTATGGCTGTTTCACTACATAGGCCTACTCATTTTAGCTACACAAATAAAATCATGGAAATTGGGTAAAATAATATGGAAACGTTATGGAGAAGTGTTGAAATATCTTGATAAAAATGTGCGGGAACCCTGAACTAGGCCGTCCTGTCTCCTTGAAATTATTTGCATGTCACTAAGTTGCATTTATAATAATGTTGTGGTGACAATGTAATCATTACTTGAATTATGCTCAGAGACCAGACTTCTTTGAGTAAATGAAACACTATATTCATGGACTGCACTGGATTTGTAGGTAGATGGTGGATATAGGAAATGCAGGACTTTGACACCAGAATCCCAGGTTTGTGTCCAGACTCCTGTCTTGTGGTTAGGTTTAGGCAACAGAAGTATTTTGGTTAAGGTTAGGGAAAGATTGTGATTGTGGTTAAATGTTAATTAAAAGACTAATAATTACAGGGGAGGCTTTCAATTGCGCTCTGCTGGAAGAATGTGTGTTTCCCCTCTCTTGGCCGTTGGTTGAAGGATTTAACAGCGAGTTTGGCTCTTGGAAAAACTCACCTATATAGTAAGAAATAGGGCTTCTGGGTTTATTGATATTTGGGAAAAAAAGTGACATTGAGGATGCCCTGAACATGTAACGCTTATATTAAGGACGCAAACTAATTTGAGGATAGTGTGCCGTACCTAGTTCTAAATGTATGCTTAAACTATTTATCACATTTTTATTATTTATTTATTCATTTATTTTCATGTATGTAGTTTTTTTAATTATTTATTATGATTCTAATTGTAATAATTATTATTTATGTTTATATGTAATGCCATATGTTCCATCTTGGGGGCGTTCATTTGTGCAACTTCTTAAATGTTTAAAATCAAACACGTTTACAGAAGACTAATAAATAAAAATAATGCTGTAGTCAACACAAAAGGATAGTAAATTGCAAGATTTCCTATTTGGCAGAAAAAAATGAAATATCTTTTCAGTGAACATTTTACAGATACATATATCAACATTTTCGTGACTTACTGGGTATGTTAATTTGCAACATTTCGTCATTATGTTAATGGAAAACAAAATGTTTTCATTAAAAACCGTATTTGCTGTTTTCAGCGTAGTTGTATATAAACTAGAGGCTGACACTGAGCACGGTTACATGCGCACAATAATCAGATAACTGGGAATAATCAGGTAATGGTAATAATCTGATTTGACGCGTTTACGTGCACTTCAATAATCTGATAATCAGAAAAACGTGTTTTTTTTTGATTATCAGTCCTTCAGTTGGATTTCTCCTCAAGTACATGACATAAAACTCAAACTTCCTGTTACAGTAGGTACTCATATCCTTGAAAAACCTTGAAAAGTATACAAGTCATATATTTGCACTCATCGTGCTGACAGCTTATATTCTTACAGTACTGTTTGTTTTTATCATTAACAAATACATGTGAGAGCATTCTAATGTGTAGTTTATCAATGTGGAGCCAATTTTACATACTTTAGGTAGATTCAGAGTAAAAGTACTGCAAAGTGCAATATACAAGTGTATTGTATATAAACTTGTCACACAAAGTGCATAACATATAAGTAAGATAAAATAAAAGTGACAATTTAAACACAGAATATAAAAATATATTATGTAAAATCTTTATCTGAAAGGAAACAAAAGCTGTCAGATTAACGTAGTGGAGTAGAAAGTACAATATTTCCCTCTGAAATGTAGTGGAGTGGGAGTATAAAATAGCAAAACCCGAAAGAAACCAGATTAAAGGGTATACATGCACCGAATAATCTGACTATTGGGGAAAAAGCTAGATGTGTTTATCTGATTTCTCATAATCAGATAATGGCTTTTATCTGATCAAGCCTATTGGATTATGCTGTTTACATGACCACTTGAATAATCAGGTAACTCCAGAAATCAGATAATGATCGGTTTATTAGTGTGCATGTAAACGCGCTCATTTTTTCGGGAGTCCCACGGGTTGGGAATCACTTTCACTATTCGTGACGTGATTGGGACAGGTTGGTAAAAAAAGTCAACGGGAGCAGGCGGGACTAGGAATCATAATAACAATAGTCAAGTTTTTATATATATAAATATGCAGTTGCACAATGAATAAATGCTATTTCCTTGTTTTTAATACAAAGCTGGTCGATCTGTTGTCTTGTTTTATTCATTTTTATTCTCTCCTGTCAGGTGGCTGGCTGCAACCAACCAGCAACCAGCCACCTGACCAGCGCATGACGTATATGGATGTTGATGCACGGTGCAGCCAGCTGCCAAAATGGAGTCGGAGGAGTTAGGGAAGGCAGCGTTACAAGTGAAAGTGAAGGAAAATGATCTGTGCATCACCCTGACAGAGCTTTCGGGCAAGTCTTGAGTACTTAAGAATTTTTTAAGACTCGAGAGTGACAGTGTTAAATCTTCATACGCTGCTTGTAAGACGTGTTTTTTTTACTGTAATTGAAACATAACACGGGAGCGGGATGGGACAGGAGTCATTCTTGTGGGATTGGGACAGGACAGGATTTTTTTTGTTGGAGGAGGATGGGACAGGACTGAAAATCCACTCCCGTGTCACCCTCTTATATAAATGCAATTCCTACGAGAAAGAGCTAAACCAGGATGGCATGGTCTTTTGCACGGCATCTTTCCTCATCAATCCCAAAACACAACTGCAGAAAACAGATTTTTAACTCACTAAAGATGCAATGAAGTTGCATCCTGGTAAATTTAGGGTCCACTGTTTTTTGAGCTTGAATCATTGGTAATAAAAGTCTAGATATCCCAAAATTTGACCGTTCTTAGAGCAATGTCACTTCCAAGCCCCCCGACTCTATGGATGTGCTAATCTAAATTACAAGAGTATCTTTTTAAGTGTATAAATGTCAGCAAAAAAACCCCACACATTATCCCAACCCTGGTGGGATGACATGTCAGCAGAACTCCAATAAACCAATAAACAAGTTTAATTGTGCAACGTGTACTTGAATAAACCAAAAGTAAAAATGCAACAATGTCAACTTTCCAGTGTGGTTTTTCTGTATACAAACTCCAGCTTTGAATAGCACAGTGAATCCACATCTGTCTCCTGGTCAATCTAAATACTGCAGGTCTGACGGTCAGAGAGATAACTCATCCAGTAACTGGAAGTTCACAGCTTCAGACCACAAGAAAACAAGTGCATCAGTGCTTCTTTTTCCATGTGATCCTTGGATGGCCCTCAAACTTTCAAGCAGTTTGAGAGCTCAGTGTAACTACAAAAGATGCCGTGTTTCTTTTGTAACAGTCACAGAAATATCAATTATATGTCGCCACCAGAAACTGAAAATCAAACACAAAGGAACTGTCCTTGCATCAACGTTTTCTCTTTAATAAAGGCACTTTATTTCACTTGTTAGTCTTTGCCAAGAGATTCTGTTTACCCGGAGCCCCGCAAGGTCAGATTCTGTAATTATGGAAAATATGAGTCATTATTTTGCCCGCTCACAAGGTATTTTTGAAGGTCTGTTGAAATTTCAGCTCTCCTTCGATCAAATAAACAAAGGATATTTTAAGGTTGTTTTGACTTTAAGGAGTGTTTGGGGCACATACACTGTACTGTTGGTGCAGGAGAATAATTCACGTGACCTAAAGATGGGCAAAACAATGCTTGCAATATAATCATTTGTACAATTTGATTGGACTCCGCTGTAGAATCGTCAAATCTGCAGATTATTACTGAAGTGAAAGGCTTACATTGTGTAAAAAAGTATAGACTTTTTTTTCAGTTCCTTGATGTTTTGTCTCCTGTTTCTTTGCAGGGCAAAGTATTTTCGAGGGAAGAAGCTGAACGGAGAATATGAGATCCGAGTGGAGCAGGTATGGTGGATTTAACATAAATTTGTCCTACTTAAATATGTTAAATAATCATTTCAAAGCTGTGACATTTAAACATTATGTATGCAACAGTCTGAGCAGTAATATAGCTGCAAACTGCTATTTTCCATACAAAGATATAGTTGAGTAATGGCGTCCTGAGCAATAAATGAAGTCACACTACCTCTGTGTGTTATAATCTGAGCTTCTCTGTGGTTTGGTGGTGTAAGCTGGTCCAGCCAAGTGTGTATGTTAGTGCATGTGTTTATCCCACTGGCTAGTTAATACCCTCCGCTTTGCACTGCCCTCATACAGCGGTTACTGCTGATATCTGGACGGCATTGTCACTGAAGCATTGTGCCCACCCTCTGGTTCCAACCTGGTTAACACCAATACTGTCAGCACTGTTGCCGTTGTTTAGCACTGCTTATGGAGTTAGCACCGTTAGCTGCTGGCCACTGGCTCAGCCACCTCCATGTTGAGAATAGTATCCAGACAACTTTATACACTCTGAATTTTGCACACAGCCCCTTTAAAAGCTGTGATAATTATTCACTCAGCATTTAACTAACTAACATTTTGGGTGACCTTCTGTTTGTAGCCAATGCAGCTACCTGTCACTTAAGTTGACGGCTTATTTATGAGGTAGAAATGATTTAATTGACTGCAAGTTAGTTATCACACTAACGTGGAACTTGATAACACCAGCATATAAAGGAAAACAATGGCTGTTTCCTTTCACAAATGTTTTATTTTTTCTATAGAGGAACATCTCAGAGTGCTTCATCACTCTTACAACATTAATAACTGTCCGACTGGGATTACTCTCCTCATGAAATTTATCATACACACCCTGGAAATACAGTAGAGGACTGTTGGGAGTTGTAGTTATGGCCGCGCTGACCTTTCATATCCAACAAGCCACTGGAAATATTGTCATTCAGCCAAACTTATAGCTTGACCTTTAGAGAAACGTGCTTATTGACTTCCTTGCCGAGAGTAATGCCTAGTACACACTACACGAGAATCAAGGCGATTTCGGGACTGATTCCCCCTCCTGACAATTGTCAGCAAAGCTCAGATTTTTGTGATGGTTCTAAAGATCATCTTACCAGATTTTCCTGTGGTGTGAGATATGTAAAAATATTTTTTACATCCCCTTATTTGTTTGGAAGTCAATTCTGGCTGCACTGATTTTAGATCATAAATATTTAACATGTTCATTATTTCATGATGACAATTACATGTTGTGTGGGGGAACGCCGAGGATCATCTGTGGTCATGTTGGTCTCTGAGCGTTTTAATGGAGTACCACCTCCAGCTTGTGCTGTAACATGTACAGTCCATGTTCAGTTTGGGCCAGCCTTGAGATGAGACCACTTGCAGGAGGTGATTAGCTTAGCTTAGCTTAGCGTAAAGACTGGAAGCTAAACCCAAAGTATTAAAATTAGGGATGCACAATATTGGATTTTTGCCGATATCCAATATGCCGAAGAACAACTTGTGTGGCCGATACCAGTATTGATATATCAGCTTTCTTCCCCAATCCTAATTGTAGTGATCATCAAGTCTCTTCTGTTGTGGAATTAACATCACAGTATGCATGCCTACTCTTATCGTGAAGATCCAGCAGATGGAGACATGATATAGAATGATTTTTAATGAATGTAATATTCATTAATTGTGCAAAATAAGAAAAAGCATGTTGGATGATTGTAATAGTTCATTTTAAAGCTAATATCGACCAATACAGATGATGTGCCAATATTATTGTGCATCCCTAATTAAAATCTGCCTACTTGTTATAACTTGAACTAAAGTAGTCTGGCTAGCTGTTTCTCCCTGCTTCACATCATTATGCCAAGCTAGGCATGGCCAATCACTTCAAAGCTCAGTACTCACCATACAGCAGACATATCTTAAGAAAGCAAAGAAGCATTATTCTCCAAATGTTGGACCATTCCTTTAAAGTAGCCTGATTTTAATTCAACACGATTGTGCCAATATTCTATACAGTGTGCACAGAAATACAGTACAGGCCAAAAGTTTGGACACACCTTCTCATTCAATGCGTTTTCTTTATTTTCATGACTATTTACATTGTAGATTCTCACTGAAGGCATCAAAACTATGAATGAACACATGTGGAGTTATGTACTTAACAAAAAAAGGTGAAATAACTGAAAACATGTTTTATATTCTAGTTTCTTCAAAATAGCCACCCTTTGCTCTGATTACTGCTTTGCACACTCTTGGCATTCTCTCCATGAGCTTCAAGAGGTAGTCACCTGAAATGGTTTCCACTTCACAGGTGTGCCTTATCAGGGTTAATTAGTGGAATTTCTTGCTTTATCAATGGGGTTGGGACCATCAGTTGTGTTGTGCAGAAGTCAGGTTAATACACAGCCGACAGCCCTATTGGACAACTGTTAAAATTCATATTATGGCAAGAACCAATCAGCTAACTAAAGAAAAACGAGTGGCCATCATTACTTTAAGAAATGAAGGTCAGTCAGTCCGGAAAATTGCAAAAACTTTAAATGTGTCCCCAAGTGGAGTCGCAAAAACCATCAAGCACTACAACGAAACTGGCACACATGAGGACCGACCCAGGAAAGGAAGACCAAGAGTCACCTCTGCTTCTGAGGATAAGTTCATCCGAGTCACCAGCCTCAGAAATCGCAAGTTAACAGCAGCTCAGATCAGAGACCAGATGAATGCCACACAGAGTTCTAGCAGCAGACCCATCTCTAGAACAACTGTTAAGAGGAGACTGCGCCAATCAGGCCTTCATGGTCAAATAGCTGCTAGGAAACCACTGCTAAGGAGAGGCAACAAGCAGAAGAGATTTGTTTGGGCCAAGAAACACAAGGAATGGACATTAGACCAGTGGAAATCTGTGCTTTGGTCTGATGAGTCCAAATTTGAGATCTTTGGTTCCAACCGCCGTGTCTTTGTGAGACGCAGAAAAGGTGAACGGATGGATTCCACATGCCTGGTTCCCACTGTGAAGCATGGAGGAGGAGGTGTGATGGTGTGGGGGTGTTTTGCTGGTGACACTGTTGGGGATTTATTCAAAATTGAAGGCACACTGAACCAGCATGGCTACCACAGCATCCTGCAGCAACATGCCATCCCATCCGGTTTGCGTTTAGTTGGACGATCATTTATTTTTCAACAGGACAATGACCCCAAACACACCTCCAGGCTGTGTAAGGGCTATTTGACCAAGAAGGAGAGTGATGGAGTGCTGCGGCAGATGACCTGGCCTCCACAGTCACCGGACCTGAACCCAATCGAGATGGTTTGGGGTGAGCTGGACCGCAGAGTGAAGGCAAAGGGGCCAACAAGTGCTAAACACCTCTGGGAACTCCTTCAAGACTGTTGGAAAACCATTTCAGGTGACTACCTCTTGAAGCTCATGGAGAGAATGCCAAGAGTGTGCAAAGCAGTAAACAGAGCAAAGGGTGGATATTTTGAAGAAACTAGAATATAAAACATGTTTTCAGTTATTTCACCTTTTTTTGTGAAGTACATAACTCCACATGTGTTCATTCATAGTTTTGATGCCTTCAGTGAGAATCTACAATGTAAATAGTCATGAAAATAAAGAAAACGCATTGAATGAGAAGGTGTGTCCAAACTTTTGGCCTGTACTGTATGTGTCTAGACACGCAGTATTTACAGTGTGCAGATAACATCTAATTTACCTCAAATAACATCAGTTTTACATCTGCAAACCATTGTTGAGCCTGCAGCCGTCTTTGAAATGGAGTGGTGGGTTTTTATGAAGGAAAAAGGGGACCACATAAAGCTGGACCGGTGATTTTATAGCCTGTTTGCTCAATTCTCTACTGTTGTGGTCACGTCTTCTTTCTGGGGTGGAGTGGGGCTGTAGTGTGGAGTATGAGTCAATGTAAACTTGCATGGATTTAAAAAAAAAATCTTGTGGTGTGACAGATATTGAACCCCAATAAAAATATGCTGAAGTTAATTAGGCCCCTACAGTTGATAGTGAGGGGGACCATACGAGCCTCAGCTATAGCTCCAAGTGTGACCTACTTTAATGTTGTTGGACCCTCCACTCTTTCCCAGAAGCCCCCCTCTGCATTGACTATAACAAGTCAGTCGCTAATTGCCTTCAGCAGCCAGACTCTTCATAGGCTCTTGCTGAGAGCCTCGGGACGATGAAAACCCAGTCTCTGTGTGAAAAGTTAGTGACATGCTGAGATGAACCCTTTCAGGAGATGACAATAAAAGCAGAGAGACCCACTGAACTTTATCCCATTTGCTTTAATCCCACATTTTTGTTGGCTTTTAACATCTCTTCCCAGCAAACGTTTTAAAATGAATAGACTTTTTTAATGGCCTGCACCAACAGTGACACATCAATCACACCAAGCAATCTTAGAATTTAAAATTGATGCATTTCAGATGTACCCACTTTTGCAAATAATAGGGCTGCATGATGTTGGCAGAAACTGACATGGCAATATTTTCTTCTGCTGACCAAATCACAATGTTCATTTACAGTATCTTGTTGGTAGAAAACCCTCAGGTCACACACATAAAATCAATTGGTGCTGAGCAGCCTTAAGTGATTAGTTTTTAGGCTCCTAAAAACACAGCTTAACCTCACCATCAGACAGACTTTTCCAATGGGGAATTGAAGTCGTTACATCAAACTCACTGGGCTCCACTGACAAAAACATTAATTTTACTTAGCAGAACACTGGAGTTACTGATCTAACATGGCTCTGATAGTTAGAGTGTACGGAAAAGTGGAGCAAATACTCAAATGTAGCCAGTGGTGTAGTGGTAGTAGATGACGTTGGTGTACTACAGGGTAGATGGGTAGGTTACCTCGGAGAAAGTGGGTATTCTCTCATATATTCTGCAACAGCCTTTAGGCTGATGGGAAGGTATACTGTAAATGGCCAGAAAAAGAGGTAGATATACCCTGTATACCTGCGTATACCTTCTACTACACCACTGAATATAGT